TAGGTGGATGTTCGCGACTTGTATAGAGGTGGTCGAATTCAGCACCTCAGATTCCCGACTAACAGAAATCGCAAGCCAGTCAGAGTGGATTTCATTGGCAGAAACTAGTTCTCTGATTGTTTCTGACTGCTATTGTTTTCAACCAATGAAATCCGCTTTGACTGGTTTATAATTTCTGTGCAAACAGACCTATTTGCACGATTTAAAATACATATACTAATTGAAAAACCGGCTAACGGGACGACAAAAACTGGCGTGTGAATCCCTGGAACCAAACCCTATGTCGACTGGCGGGAATTTTTCTCGATCTCCGGACCCCAGTGTTGGAAAATAAATGTTGCTATTGTGCTAATTTTTATCAAGGAACTTTCTCGTTCGTGCTGATTCGTGCTTTTAAAAAGGAACGTTTCCACTAGTCTTGAACGTTCGCGAACTTCGAGAATAAACGGGAACGTTGCATGAGTTACAACAGTAGTTGCAGAGGCTGCAATATAGCTAGGTGGTAAACTGCAATTTTATTTTTTTCTAACCGTCTTCTCGGGGTATTCACTTTACATACTGATTCCCTGGCGAGAACGAAATTACTAGCATACCTACATTCCATATTGCTAATTAGGTAAACAATAATTGAACTAATGCTTTTGTAAATGCTTCAGATAATAATAAGTTCCCTTAGACGTCTGAAACCAAAACTGCTCCAGCGCTAACAATGTTTTTTTTTTTTTTTTTCGAAGTACCGAACAACACAATCTTTCCAATGCTTTTACCTAGCATTTGCAGAAGGGCGACCGGCATATAATCTGAAGGAAACACTCCTCATCACTCCCCTTAAATATTGGGATTATCATTGCCAAGCTTGTGGGGAATTCCCCGGTACAAAATGAGTGGTTTATGCAACTCACCAAAACCTGGCTCAAAGACCCGCAAAGGAAGTTTCAAAAATACCCCTTACTTACTGATATTTCATCCCAACACTAAGCAGCGTTCAATTTGATATCCTCAAATATATGGTATTTAGTTTGGATTTGTCAGGACACTTAAAGAACTACCTATGATCATAAGTAGCATAGCCCGAATTTGAGAAGACAAACTTCCTGCACCATTAAAATAAGAATAATTAAAGTAAGGGTGGACCCTGTACGTTACCGTCCACTACCCTTTCCTTCCCCTTAAAATTGTTAACGATCTTCCTTACATTGATAAAGAGGGCATTACACGGCGTGTGGAACGGCGCGCCTGACGCGTGGAATGTGAACAGGCAAGCAAAGCGCGTGGAGTGTGGTCGCAGTCAGACGGCCTGTGAATTGACAAGTTTGCGCCCCACGATGAAAGTTCGCGCATCGCGTGTTGAGGCCTTCTCCCACAACATCTTCGTTTCAGTAACATCAGGAATTATTAAAAAATATTTGTTATTGGTGAACTTCCCGCTCCCGTTCGCTCCACGCGCCGTGTGACTGTATACCCCGAGTCGCTCCACAAACACGCGGCGCGTGTCCTTTGAAGTGTGTCAAATTTACCGCTCATCGACGGGAACAGACGCGCGGCGCAAAATTGGCTGCGCCAGACCCTTCACACGGCGTGTGGAGTGCCAGTTCACGCGCCAGGCGCGCCGCTTCACACGCCGTGTAATGCCCTCTTAACGTTCGAACCAACAAAGAAGAATACACACGCGTTATCGTTTGTTTCACTTCAAATGGGAGAAATAACGTCAATGGATTCTTCTTGTAGTGCAGTGATTTTGTTTTTGCGGATATCTTTATGTCTCCCTTTGTAATGCAAATAATGCAATAAGGCTTACCATTTTTTTTTAACTTGAGAGCAATGCTCTATTAAAATGCTTATAATAATTTCTGAAATTCCTCCAATCGATCAAAACATTCAATTTCAACTGCCACTTTTCGCCATTACATAGTTGCAAAAATGTTCCATACTTATTTCTGCAGTACACTCTTCCTTTCTCAAACCTTTTTGCAGCATAATAGTTTTTTGATATTTTCCTCGATATTTTCAACCCTTAATCATCTATCGATTATGGAACCAATTTAAAAGATTGTTGTGGTACCCCATTCAAAATCTCGAGCAAATGGATAAAAACCTTACGATTTTTCTGGAACACTTTAGAGTCCCTGTTAAAAGATGATAGTCTTGCGATATTTTCAACCCTTCCTTTTCTGCCAATCTTTTCTCTTTCAGCTGCCCATGCCACATTCACAACTAGTAAGAAATATTTATTTATTCAAGGTAAAAAACTTTTCAGTCACCTTCCCACGAGAGCGAGAAAACTTCTATCTGAAAAAGTTTTAAGAAGTAGACTGAAGATTTTTTTTGCTGATAAATCATACTAGAGCCTTGATGAGTATTTCACCACGTTGGATTTGGTTGATGAACTCTCCCTTCTATTCCAGGTACTCTATATTGTTTGTCCATACAAAAGTCTTCTTCTTCTCTTTCAACCCATATTTAGGCTTATAGGTCTCTCTCAATCCCCTCTATAGTCTATGTCCTCCCTGTTCTGTGCTGTATTCAACTACTGTTTACCTGCAACTTTTTTAATATCTTCCACATATCGTTTCTGTGGGCGTCCTAAAGTTCGTTTAGTCTGTCTAGGTCTCCACACTATTACATTATGTGAAAAAATTAAAAAATAAATAGACACCTCAATAGGCTCCTTGCATCAAAATTTTTTTATGCTGATTTCGATAGTCCATGAAAAATAAGTTAACACGTGTTTTTTCTTTTTCTTCTTAGTCAAAAATTGACGGAGATACAACACTATGAAATCTGCCTATGACGTCACTTATCTAATAAATTAGTGACGTTGCACATGCTCAGTATATCTACAGGGTGTTTGGAAGGTCGATGCAAAGTCTTGGGAAGGTGATAGGGGACGTCATTTAAACTTAATTAAGCCAAACATACCTTAGTACAAAGTCTTACGGTTTTCGAGTTTTTCGAACGTTTTGGATTTCTTTAAAAAAAGGCAATTTTTCATTTTTTTCTCCTTTTATCTCTAAAATAAAAGATGACAGTTTGATGATATTTTTTTTTTGATAGCAGACGTTTGTCTTTTCTGAAAGTGTAAAGAAGAGAAAACCATACTGACTGCAAAAAAATAATAAATACATTTTTGGTATTTTTTTTTTTTACTGATAAAAAATTACTTTTTCTGCTGAAGTTTATTAACTAAATCAGCTGTAAACAAGCTTATTTTATTAGTAATACTTTATCAGAAAAATTAATTTTTGATCAGGAGGAAGAAAAATTACCAAACATTAATTTATTATTTTTTTGTAGTTCGTTTGGTTTTCTGTTCTTTACATTTTCAGAACAGACACACGTTCTGCTATTGAAAAAAAAATTATTGTCAAGCTGTCACCTTCTATTTTAGAGATAAAAGGAGAAAAAAGTGAAAAATTGGCCTTTTTTGAAGAAATCCAAAACGTTCGAAAAACTCGAAAACCGTAAGACTTTGTACTAAGGTATGTTTGGCTTAATTAAGTCTAAATGACCTCCCCTATTACCTTCCCAAGACTTTGCATCGACCTTCCAAACACCCTGTATATATACAAAACTTAATATTTGAATAACTTCCGGAATAATCATATTTGGGCGAAATAAAAAAAAAAGTAACGATTTTTTTTCGATTTCCCACAGTTGGCAATAAACAATAATCAATTCAATTTTCCATGCAAGTACCCTATTTTAAATTAATTTAATAAAATTTTAGTCACTGTCAATTTATGTGGGGTCTTATTGTTTGGTGATAATCTCAAGTTACATTCGAAAAATATAAATATTTACTAAGAATTGTTGTTGTTTTTTTTTTATCAAAATGAAGTAGCGGAAGTTTTTTTTTCATATCAAATTTGAGTAAACAATAAATACTTAGTATAACATACAATCACAAAATGTGCACTTAGTTAGATCTTAGCCTCAAACTAAATGCATGCATGTATTCAAAAATAATATTTCAATTAATCTCTATATTTGAAAAAGTCAGTAGGTTTCAAGTAAAAAAGGCAGTTTTCAAATTTGTGTAAACCATTTAAGAGCAGTTTGAAAGATTAAATCCTGACTGTCTTTGTAATTTGGTCTTTATTGTGGGATGTAACTGAACTCTACTTATTCAGTGATTAATGGAACAGTATTTTCGGAATAGTATTTAATTTATGTGACAACAATAGTGATAGATTGTCCAATAACAGCCCAGACAGATAGATAAGGGTCTGTTTTCCTGTCACCGATAAAAATAATCTTTACTTAGAGTTTAATTTTTAAATCCAGTTTTAAATGCATTTTTTTCCTTTGTAAATAAGATAATGAGAATAGTAGAGAGAAATTGAATTAGGGGCTTAGCCTTTCAATTGAAATTTATTAAGTTTTTTGATGAGGGTTTCACATAATTATATTACCGCTTGGGACAGCTAAAATTTCACAATTTTGTATCAATCGGTTTCGCCAATATTCAATTTATTATTTCAAATCAGTCTCCTTCCTAATCTATGAATGTATTCTTTATTGGTAAAAATGAGAAAAACATATCACAAATAATTCCATTGATCATATTTTCGGTAATTAAAATCTCAACAGGGAATATAATTTCTCTGAAGCCTATTGATAAAAAATTAATCAAGACTTAATTACTTTGCGTTTTTATGACAAAATGAAATATAGTCACACAAAAATCTTATGAACCATAGGTACTTGAAATTGCTCAAGGTTGCAATTTATGTTGGGTGATATTAATTAAAAATTGGCACAACTTCCTGTAATAATTATTAATAAACCGAATAATTGCTTAATGCGTTAGCCGTTAAACGTGCTTATCAATGTGAAATAAAAATTGGCATGTTAAGCAGATTGCAAATTTTATCACCGTCTAGTTTTGCAGTATTTGTAACTTTATACTTTATTTTAACCAGTATTTCACTGATTTTTTTTTTTGCAATTAATAGTTCGATTTCAATCAATACAAATTTAAAATGTGTTATTTTTTACAGAGAGAACACCATGGATGTGACTGCACCTTTAATCTTCTTTTCAATATTTATTTTTGCTTCCATTGCTTTATTCCTTGTTTACAAGTATGGAATAAAAAAGAAGACTTTTGAAGAAGCTTTGGCGGAACATAAGAAACAGACCAGCGCCTTGCTTGGTCCCAAAATTAAGCCAAAAGAAAAGAAAAGCAAGAAAGCAGCCAAAAAGGTAAGACTACTTGATATTTTTATTTATTTGCTTTTCAATTTATTTCTCAATAATTTTTACAGGCCAACAAGGAAAAAGCTATTCCGGAAAACGGTGAAATGCCTGATGAGACTGAAAGTTTGGATTCAAAAGATGTACAGGACAATGTTGAAATGAAACCTCAGCCTCAAGTTAAATCTCATAAGGGTAAAGCAGCGTTAAACAAACAAACAAAGGAGAAGATACACGTGGAATTTAAGGAGGAACCGGAGGAGGCTTTAGAAGTGAAAGTACCAGTTGAAAAAGAGGTCAAAGACGTAATCAACAAGGTAAGTTCATAATTTTGCCAATTTCAAAATAATACACATTGTCGGAATACCACATATTCATTAGCTATTTTTTTTTTTTTTGACACAACTCAGTTTTAAGGAGAAATAACTTTTGGACAAAACTTTTGAACACTTAAAAATTAAATTTGAGAGAATTTTTAGTACAAATTTATCTTATTCATCTTTAAATTTGCATCCAATTGAAGAGTTAGGATACGTAACACGTAGTCAAAAACTAATTAGTGAATTTATTATATTTAATTATTATGTCCTAAAAATTTCAACAATAATATGAGGGATTTTTATATTATTATAACTAGTTAACCAAAAGTAATGTAGGATTTCTGGTTCTGCATTTTTTCATGTGTACATTTTTGCAAAACAGTTTTAATTTAGCATCAACCTTTGATAAAAATAAATAATTTCAATGAAAAAATCGAGTTGTGTAATACGTCTCTTATTGTGTGGATAATCTAGAAAAGTTTGATTAAACCGTTCCCGCTACGTTTCACTGTGTTTTAGTACTTATATTTTTTCCATTGTTTGTGTATTATTGCTAATTTTTTATTGTTGGCTTCTTTTTATTGCCAATTTGCCAAATCCCTATTATATACAAATCCATACTTACGCTTTTCCAGAAGCGTGTCAAAAGGGTACGGCCGATTTTACTAAAAAAAACCGCTGAACAAGAAATAGTTCTTCCTCTGGCAGTGGAAGCACCTGTGCTCAATCATTTCGAAGAGATACATCCTAAGGATGAGTTTGAGTTGTTGCATTCCAACAGTGTAAGTTTTGTGTTCTGTGTGGTATTGATGTAGGTCTGGTGTGGAAGATGCCACTCGTCAATTTTGATCAGTTTATTCTGTAGGTTGTTTTCCACAAATAAACAGTTTAGAGATTTAGGTATTTTGTGTGGTGACTTGATATTTATCATATAAGGTGATTGTATCGTTTCTAGAACAATGGAACAATTAATATTTACTGCTCTTTTGAACTTGAAGTACTAATTTCTAGATTGAACTGCGTGTAAACTTTTGCATGTGCAGTGTGCAGCTATGCCTAGAAATGCATTTCTTGCATAAATGTAACTCTGACTGAAAAAATCCTATTTGTTAATACATCCTTACTAACTTTCTGTCTAAATAAAATCATTATGCTTTTTTGATGTAAGCAAAGTGTTCTTGTAAACTATTGCTCTCTTACTCTATTTAATTTGTCTCTTTTTTCACTAAATTTAAAACAAATTAGGACTGTTAGGGAAAGCCCGATAGTAAATTCTAGCACTGGAAACTCTCAGAGAATTCAGTGAATGCAGTCTATATTTTGATCCTAAAAACGCTAGTGAACAACAGAACTTAGTCATTAGTCTTTAAGTAAAAGCTTAGCAACTGGCAACATAGTAATAGAAAATATCACTTAATGTGTAGACCGAGGTGTAGACATTCTGCAGGTTCTTGCAGTTCCTTCTCTTCTGTATTTTTGAATAATAGAGTTAGTTAAAATCAATACAGTTTCTTACTTGAATAATCCAAAAATTCTTTCACCTACAGAAAGACGACCTTCAGAAGGAAGCTCCAAAAGAAGAAAGAAAGCAAGACAAAAAAAAAATCAAGCCCCAAAAGCAAGACGTCCAGCAAGTGGGTGAAAAACCTAACAATGCTGCAGGTGAGCCTTTGGCAACTGAAAAAGAAAAAGCCAAAGAAGAAAAGGCCACTGAAAATATTTTGGCTCCATTGGTTCAAGAATCGGTGGTTAACACTGGAAAGGAAAAGAAGAAAAAGAAAAGCGAGTTCAACTCGAAACAACAAGTAATTGGTAAGTAGATTGTTTTTGTTATTAATATTTGTATGATATTTAAGTATTCTCCAACACGTGATAATGGCAAAACGGATGGGCAAGTCAATTTTTTGAGCGGAACTGAAATTCACATAATTTCAGACTGTGAGCGGAATATTTTTGTATTGTACGTTTTCTATAGAGATGTTGAAACACTTGTTTTAGATATTTGCCAAGGGAGCACTGAAGATACTAGAGCATTTTTGTGCAGAAAAAATACTGAAATAATTTCAAAATTAGGATCTTGTTGAGCTCTGGTTCTTCCAAATATTTCCACGCTTTTCTGTTAAGAGCTTAGTAATCTAGTTCTCTCCTTCCTGGGTGTCATTTGGCAATCTTTTCTGGGGTCTCCCAACACTTCTCTTGTCGCCATATCATGAATTTGTCCATCTGGTTTTCCACTTTCATGCAATAAGTTTTGTTGAATTGTTCTGCTAGATTAGTAGGAGGCGATTTCTTGTTCACAACTATCTTCCATAGATTTGTGAGCCGACTCTTTACATACTAGAGATACTGTAGTTCTTAGCAATAGGAGACTTGTCCCAAAGTTTACTTACACTTTCTATGTCTCATATAAAAGATTTTCGTGGTTAGCCATGGTTTGTGAATGAATGGCATCACATTTTCTTTACACTGTTAGATGAAAACCACATTTTTGGAATTACCGCTAACCAGCAAGGAGGACAAAATAGAATACGAAATTTTTAGAAAACGAGAGGTACCCTACACAGAATATCATTTAGTTTGAATTCAACTCTGAACATCATCAATAATTATCCTAATATGCAGACTTTATTATTAAAATTTTGAGTTGGGATCACCTTTCAGTCGTCTTAAAAATATTGACTTGTTTATCCGTTTTCTATTTTATTGAACTTCGCAAATTGTCGGTTTCAAAGTTTCCTAAGAGAATAGAGAGGTTTGAGAAGTTACAAAACTATTTTTCAAAAATCCTATAAATATTAAAGTAAGCCTTAAATTTTCAGTTATCCGGGAAAAACAGAGAGGTAGTTATTCTTAGTAATTAATCTTTCACGATAGAAGCCACACAAAATAAGAATACATATTTACTTGTCAATTTTAATGCATCAATCTCAATAAAATAGTTCACACTTGGGTGTCTGAAAAATAATAAAGTAATGTTTGCCTTTATAGTAGCTGAAAGGGATCAACTAATTCATTCCATACGCAATGCTGAACTTTCCCGTAACGAAGTGCAATTGCTGATCGATCTACTTTTGAATAAGCAGCTTGAAGCCCCTACTGTTGTTGATGATTGGAGTGAGGTAAGATAATTATATTACCTATTTGATTTAAACTTTTGCTTCAAATAATATTGCATTCTTTAGGGTAAGTTTGATCCTGTTCAGAAACTCAAAAAGCAACTGGCCGACAAAGAAAAACAATTAGAAGATGAACAAGAAGCGCACGTCGGCGTCCAAGCTAAACTCAAAGAAGTTAGAAACGAACAACTTGCAGAAAGAGCTCAACTACTGCAAAAAATTAAAGCATCTGAGGATTCAAAACTAGAACTTGCAGCAGCTCATAATCGTATGCAGCAACGTCTTCAAGAGTTGGAAGAGTTGCGTAATAAGGAATTGACCAATTTCAAGAGGCTTTTGGAGGAAAATAACAATTTGGTGATACAAAGGGCGCAATTTGAGAATACTTTATTGGGCTACCAAGAGGTACCTATATAATTTTTTTTTTAGCCTCGATTCATCAAAATGATTATACATTTCAGACTGATAACATAATCCACGGTCTAAAGACTGAGAATGCCCAACTCACCAACGATTTACAACTTTTATCTCAGGAAAGACAAGAACAAGCAACAAATTATCAAAACTGCATTATACAAAATCAAGCGATGCAGGAGGAATTGAGACGCATGGGTGAATATTGCAAAGGCTTGGAAGTAAGTATGGGGATTTATGGACTTTTTGGACAAATGAGAAATATTATTTATTTCTTTCAGAGAAATCACGGTTTTGTTCTAACTGCTAAACAAGATGAAATACGCCAAGTGGCTGATCAACTCAAAATAGCTTCTGAAAATCACACCAAAGAAGAACAAAAGTTGAAGGATATTATTGCTCAAGTAACTTAGCGGTTTTTTTTTTTGGGATAAAGTTTGATGTCTGTTTTTTTTCAGCTCACTGCTGAAAAAGAGAAACTTCAAGAAGAAAAGAGCCTTCAAATAAACGGCTCCTCAGAAGAAAGCAAAATACACGAAGTCAAAGTCCTGAACCTGACAAATGAACTGTCGTCAGTTAAAAGTGAGCTTACTTCAGTTAGCCAATCGCTACTTGACGCCGAAAGACAATATAAAACTGAAATTTGTGTTTCACAAGAAAAATACAACCAATTGAAGAACGAACTAGAAGAACAAAAGAACAAAAATGATGTGAGTAAATTTTACTTTTATTATATTTATTTTTCATTAATAGTTACTTACACATTTCTATATATTCAAAGTACCTGAATAATTAGGTTTGCATAGAAATTAGGAACTAACATGTTGTGTGTGTTTTTTAACTAGGAGTTGCGCAAAAAAAATTGGAAAGTGATGGAGGCCTTAAATGCTGCAGAAAGCAGGAATAATAAACCGGTGGCTGCGAATAAAGACGCTGATATTAATGTCGACGTAAGTCTGTTTACCCTGTAACTGTTATTTAAATTACTTTTGGGCATGCTGTTTAAATTTAAAGTGGAAAATCCTAATTATTATGTATTTGATGTGGATAGTTTTAATTTTTTTCTTTATAGATCTGAGATAGGGTACTAATGAAAATATGTATATGTCGTAGCCATATTGTAAGTTCCGCCATTTTATAAAACGGCTAGCCACTTCATAAAACGCGGCTACATTGTGAAATAGTAAGTTATTTTAAATTATTTTGTGATATGGCTGATAATTTTGGCCATTTCATAAACTGGCCCTTCAAGTACAAGCCATTTCTTCAAACAGAAATAAATTTTTGTTGTTTTGCATTTCGGCGAATCAGCCACAATCAGGGTTGGCAAATATCATGATATTTATATAAATATCCAATTATCCGATATATATCAGATATATATCAAAATTTGGATATTTATTTATATTTTTAATTACTTAAATTAGTTCATATGTTTTCTGTTATCTATATCATTAAAATTCAAAATAACTTTATGGTGAATTTAATAAAATGTTACAAACATGCAAAGTTGGTATGGCGATAACAAGTTTTGTGTTCCTAAATTAAATTATTATAATAAAGCCTTGATTAAAATTAAATATAATAAATAAATAATACAATAATCTCCTATACATAGGTATAGGAACGTAAAGTGTAGTAGGTGAATAAAAATTCGAGTTTAAGAATATGAAAACATTTATGTCACTTATACTACTTATGTTTGCCTTAAGCCGTGGTTCAACAACAAAAAAAAAATGACAACTTAGGTCGGGTATTATAAAACTATTTTGACAGAATAACTAGAAGTTAACTTCTAGAATATCGGTATTTCTCATAGTAACTCCAGAAGTTAACATTTAGTTATCTGTCAAAATAGTTTTATAATACTTGCTGTAAAAAACTTGATATTTCTTATACGTAAATAAAAATAAATAAAATAATAATTGATAATTGACGTAATATAGACTGTTTTGGCCGAGATTCCTGTGATTTCCTTCTCATAAATATACTACTACGGCCGTTGAACTCCTCAACATAAAATAATAAAACTATAAAATAAGAAAAGAAGGTCATACAAATAATATTGATATATATCATGATATTTATCGCTGATATATATCCTGCCAACCCTGGCCACAATATAAAATAAAAGTGAGGTTATTTCTTTGCCGACAATAAACTTCTTTCACTGATGCATTTTTTGAATTAGTTAAGAAGTATTATTGATGTATGTTTGTTAAGTTATCTTTGTATTCCTTTTTACTAGTGGAAAAATCTTTGTTTTATAATCATTTACGCAGGTAAGGCATAAAGTTGAGGGAAGCGGAAAGCAGGGCCGTTCCTATCTGGTTACCAAATAGAAGCCAATTTTCGTTTAGATTGAGTATTGCTTTTATCTCGTGTTTTTTTTTTTCGCGAATTCCGCCGAAATGCAAAATAACAGGTATGTATTCCGGTTTAAGAATATGGCTCGTACTGGATCAGCCAGTTTATAAAATGGCTAAAAGCACTAGCATTATTACCAAATAATGCAAAATAAACATTTATTTTAAAATGTGGCCGCTTTTTATAAAGTGGTTAGCTGTTTTATAATATGGTGAAATTTTCAATGTGGCTATGACATATACACCGTAATTTATGTAGCCCGTGTATTAGAAGTTTTCGCCTAAATTTATTTCAATTTATTCAAAACCTTATTTGCAGACTTATCATCAAACAATTAACAAATTGGCTTGGTGTAAACGGTATTACAATGCGTGCGATGTCTGGGAATTTATTAATATATGTTTTGTCATTGCAACGAGTTGGAAAGCCTGCAATAATGGGAAAAATTCTGATTTTTTTTAAAAATTTTGTATTTATGATTAATATCAATATGTATGGGTTGCATATAACCAAACAATGTTCCAAAATGCTACTTACGTGTGACCTAAATGTCAACTACAAAATGGAAAGTAACCCCAAGATCCCTCATTCCTATGAATGTTGTATCCTTATAATATTCTTCATTTTTGCAAAGTGTAGAACAAAACATTTATTTGAAATGAATTCTTGTTCAAGTGTCCATTGATGTAACCTATTTAGATTTATATGTAGTCTTTGACAATTAACTTCATCAGAGACCCTTTCGTACAGCTTCAGATCATCTACCAACATCAATATTTTTGAGTTTTTTTTTTATCTCTGTTACTAGGGCGTTTGTTTGAACCCCATGTATAAAAATACATCATAGGTAACCGGCTATATCTCAGGAACTATTAGTCCTAGAGCTTCCAAGTAAAATTTTTTAAGGTGGCACTTAAAATAAAGGGCTATAATATACCTTTCATCTAATTCAATTTCAATTCTTGATATCTTGGACTGGTAACTACTTTTAGAAACACAATAAGTTCTTCTTCTTCTTACTAATTTTATAGAGCCGTAAAAAAATGAGATTTTTTTTGTTTTATCCCGAAAAAGAAGACAGGAAGGTATTTCCTGAAAATTTTGTTATTAAAAATATTTGCTTATTTTTTTTTGGGGGTTAGGATAAAGATTCAGACTTGCGGTTTTCACCTTTGTCCTAATTTTTTTATCCTCTTTTCATCTAAATTAAAAAAAAGCATCACTATATTTGAAATTTCCGAGGAAAAATGGGAAATTGTCAACTCTTAGACACAGCGCCCCCTAGCGGCAACAGAATAATTTAGTTTTGTTATTTTTGTTATGCATTTTATTAAACAGAAAAAACTCTTCCAAATGACACCCGAATCATTGAAATCGGTTGAAAAACAAAAAAGTTATATGAATTTTGTTCCTAGCAAGTTTGAACCTTCCTCCACGTCTTATTTGAAGAGTTAGGGCAAAAATCCTCAACAAAATTTTTTCGTAATCTCATCAAGATTTCAATAATCATATTTTTAGAATACCTTTAGTGGCCGTTTTTTGAAGATTGACAGTATTATGTTTTCCAGTGTTCGTTGCGCCCCCTAGCGGTCAACTTACAAGAAAACTATTTCCAGCAATTTTTCATGGCCTTTTTTATGAGAAAAAATGGACTTGGAAGCTCTAGGACTATTAGTTCCTGAGATATAACCGGTTACCTCCTTAGGTGAAACACCCGGTACTTCAAAATTATCTTCCAGGGCCTTTGTGATAGTTGTTATGTGAAATAGGAGGTTGAGTTCAGCATTGCGACTTGCGCAAAAGCCAAACTGTTCATTGATAATTAAAAGAGATAAAAAAACTTTCAAATTTTTGGATATTTCTTCAAACAGTTTGGGTATTGTACTCAAAATGCTAATAGGTCTTAGTTTTTTATATTAGAAGTGTCCTCGGATTTGTGGATGGGGACTCCATAACTGGACTATTAAATATGATATGCAGAGGTCTTGAGAGGATAAAAGAGCAGTTTTTAAGCAAAATAGGATGAATTTTACATGGAACATATTGAAAAAATAAACTCAAGAGCTATCAGAATGCTAGGTTTTGTGTTTAGGTCTAGCGAGGAAGTGAATAAATGAATAACACTTCTATTATAAGGGATGTTTTTTGTGTACTGGTAAGTTCTTTTGTTGAATATGCCAGCTCAGTATGGCAACCACACTACAATGTGCACAAAGACAGTATAGAAAATATTTTTAAAAAAACTGCTCAACTCAAACTGGGCGTTTCATATGAGCAAATTAACTGTAATGAGTTAATGACTTTACTAAAATCTAACACCATTGGAAAATAGGAGAATTATTTTTGAAATATGTACCTTTTACAAGATTATCAATGACCAAATCGATATCACATATCTTCTTGCAGTGGTTGGATTTCATCTACCATCTAGGGATGCAAGAAATAAAAAACGTTTCATGGAGCAAACAATATAATTCAAAAGTGTAATGAGATTGACTTTTTGAACTGAGGATAACATTGGTGTTTTTGAGGATAAACTGAGGAAAGTTGTTTATGATGGTTGAAGGCGCAAATGGTCTAGAGCTTTTAGAATATGTGCCGCCAAGTGTTTATGTATTGTCCGTCGTTTTTATTCTGACACTTTCCATGTGAGGAGCGAGGGGGTGAAGCATATATCAAAAACAGGAGTGAAGTCAGGTGACCAATGGCGTTCTAACGCAGGGAACCACCAACTCACATTCCTTTGGAGTATCATATTTAAAACGATGGACTGTAGGTTACAGATAGTCACGTTCAATATAGGTTTGAAAAATGGCCCATCTAAGGACTTTTCGTTGAATCTTTTTCTGGAAATAGCGTCATTCATATTTTAAATACCTATATCCAAGAGCCCAGAGCCGCCAGACGCAACTTATTTTCTAAAGGACAGAATATGTGGGATTGAGTAGCACTGATAGGTACTATGAACGTATGTTTACCCGCTAAGTTGGGTAGACGGCCAATTGAAAATAACAGTAACAGCTGAAACTGCTATTTGTAAATAACGGTTTCTCCCATTTCTTTTCTAGCCTGAAGTAGACTGTAAGTTTAAGAGGGGGAAATCAGTTGACATAGATATCTCGCTCACTCTCAAACGCATGCATAGTACCCTTGAAAAAATTATTATTGCGTCTGGGGGGACGTTTGGCCGGTGCGATTGGTCTGGCTGATCACACGTAGTTATGAAATAGTCTCCCCAATAACAATATAAAAATCAAGCGTTAGAAAAAAAATTAAAGTTTTTCTCACCTTTCGCAGCTGGGGTCGGTAAATTGGCCACCTACTTAACTTAGCGGTTATACATACATTCATAGTACATATAAGTGTTACTCAATCCCACATATTCTGTCCTTTAGCAAATAAGTTGTGTCTGGCGGCTCTGGGCTCTTGGACTATAACTGTATATTGTTACTTTGTATTATTTTATTAATTTTTGTTGTTTTGTTATGTAACTTTTGTAAATGCTAATTGCGTTAATAATTATTTAATTTCATTTCATTTTTTAGCCAGTGTCTGTATTGTCATTCACATTCACATTCTCAAC